TTACTGTAAGAGACACTGTACTGTATTTACCACTATACTGTACCTGACACTGTACTGCACATGACACTGCACTGTACCTGACACTGTGCTGTACCTGACACTATACTGTACCTGACACTAATGTACCTGACACTCTACTGTACCTGACACTCTACTGTACCTGACAATGCACTGTACTTGACACTGCAATGTACCTGACACTGTACTGTATCTGACACTGTACTGTACCTGACACCATACTGTACCTGACACTACTGTACCTGTCACTCTACTGTACCTGACACTCTACTGTACCTGACATTGCACTGTACTGTACCTGACATTGCACTGTAATTGACACTGTACTGTATCTGACACTGTACTGTATCTGACACTGTACAGTACCTGACACTGTACTGTACCTGACACTGTACTGTACCTGACATTGTACTGTACCTGACACTGTACTGTACCACACTGTACACCCTGACACTGTACATGCCACTGTGTACTGTACCTGACACTGTAATGACACTGTGTACTGTACCTGACTGTACTTACACTGTACTGTACCTGACACTGTACTGTACACTGACACCTGACACTACTGTACCTGACACTGTATTGTGCATGACACTGTGTACTGTACCTGACACTGTACTGTACTTAACACTGTACTGTACCTGACACTGTACTGTACCTGACACTGTACTCTACTTAACACTGTACTGTACTTAACACTGTACTGTACCTGACACTGTACTGTACCTGACACTGTATTGTGCATGACACTGTGTACTGTACCTGACACTGTACTGTACTTAACACTGTACTGTACTGTACTCTACTTAATACTGTACTGTACTTAACACTGTACTGTACCTGACACTGTACTGTACCTGACACTGTATTGTGCATGACACTGTGTACTGTACCTGAGACTGTACTGTACTTAACACTGTACTGTACCTGACACTGTACTGTACCTGACACTGTACTCTACTTAACACTGTACTGTACTTAACACTGTACTGTACCTGACACTGTACTGTACCTGACACTGCATTGTACATGCCACTGTTTACTGTACCTGACACTGTACTGTACCTGACACTGTGCACTGTACCCGACACTGCTCTATCTGACAATGCACTGCACCTGACACTGTATAAAGTAACTGGCACTGAGCAATGTACCTGACACTGTGCACTGTACCCTATATTGTGCACTGTACCCTACACTGCACTGTACTCGACTCTGTGCACTATACCTGACACTGTGCACTGTACCCGACACTGCTCTATCTGACAATGCACTGCACCTGACACTGTATAAAGTAACTGGCACTGAGCAATGTACCTGACACTGTGCACTGTCCCCTATATTGTGCACTGTACCCTACACTGCACTGTACTCGACTCTGTGCACTATACCTGACATTGTGCACTGTACCGACACTGCAATATCTGACACTGCACTGTACTTGACACTGTATACTGTACCTGACACTGAGCACTGTACCTGACACTGTATTGTACCTGACGCTGTACTGTACCTGACACTGTACTGTACCTGACACAGTACTCTAACTGACATTGCACTTTACCTGACACTATACTGTACCTGACACTGTACTTTACCTGACACTGTGCCCAGTACATGACACTGTACTGTATTTAACAGTGTGCACAGTACCTGACACTGTGCTTTGGACTATAGTTGTGTACTGTTTGTAACTCCTCAATGGTCGAGCATTGTACGGCGGACTATCCCTAAGATCGCTGACTAAAGAATTAACTATCTCAAGAACATCACTGGACAGTCCACACGTACAGAGACTATACCATGGTGTTTGACCTTGTACTAGAAATGGACTCTGAAGGTTAGATTACCGTGGACTGTAGGTCGCCGATATAAGCGAACACTGAACCTGGTCAAGACTGTATCCTGGGTAATGATCTGTTATAAAGACAAGGCCACACCATGGAAGATGGACTGTCTCTACAGCTATACCTTGGAGGGACGACTGTCTCTACAGCTATACCTTGGAGGGACGACTGTCTGTACAGCTATACCTTGGAGGGACGACTGTCTGTACAGCTATACCTTGGAGGGACGACTGTCTCTACAGCTATACCTTGGAGGGACGACTGTCTCTACAGCTATACCTTGGAGGGACGACTGTCTCTACAGCTATACCTTGGAGGGACGACTGTCTCTACAGCTATACCATGGAGGGACGACTGTCTCTACTGTGTCTCTACAGCTATACCTTGGAGGGACGACTGTCTCTACAGCTATACCTTGGAGGGACGACTGTCTCACAGCTATACCTTGGAGGGACGACTGTCTCTCCAGCTATACCTTGAGGACGACTGTCTCTACAGCTATGCCTTGAGGACGACTGTCTCTACAGCTATACGAGGACGACTGTCTCTACAGCTATACCTGGAGGGACGACTGTCTCAGCTATACCTTGGAGGGACGACTGTCTCTACAGCTATACCTTGGAGGGACGACTGTCTCTGGCTATACCTTGGAAGGACGACTGTCTCTACAGCTATGCCTTGGAGGGACGACTGTCTCTACAGCTATCCCATGGAGGGACGACTGTCTCTACAGCGATAACTTGGAGGGACGACTGTCTCTACAGCTATACCTTGGAGGGACGACTGTCGCTACAGCTATACCTTGGAGAGACGACCGTCTCTACAACTATCCCATGGAGGGACGACTGTCTCTACAGCGATAACTTGGAGGGACGACTGTCTCTACAGCTATACCATGGAGGGACGACTGTCTCTACAGCTATACCATGGAGGGACGACTGTCTCTGCAGTTATACCATGGAGGGACGACTGTCTCTACAGCTATACCTTGGAGGGACGACTGTCTCTACAGCTATACCATGGAGGGACGACTGTCTCTGCAGTTATACCATGGAGGGACGACTGTCTCTACAGCTATACCTTGGAGGACGACTGTCTCTACAGCTATCCTTTGGAGACGACTGTCTCTACAGGGAGGACGACTGTCTCTGCAGTTATACCATGGAGGGACGACTGTCTCTACAGCTATGCCTTGGAGGAAGACTGTCTCTACAGCTATCCCATGGAGGGACGACTGTCTCTACAGCGATAACTTGAGGACGACTGTCTCTACAGTTGCACCTTGGAGGACGACTGTTTCTACAGCTATACCTTGGAGGGACGACTGTCTCTGCAGCGATAACTTGGAGGACGACTGTCTCTACAGCTATACCATGGAGGGACGACTGTCTCTGCAGTTATACCATGGAGGACGACTGTCTCTACAGCTATACCTTGGAGACGACCGTCTCTACAGCTATCCCATGGAGGACGACTGTCTCTACAGCGATAACTTGGAGGGACGACTGTCTCTACAGCTATACCACGGAGGACGACTGTCTCTACATATACCTTGGAGAGACGACTGTCTCTACAGCTATCCCATGAGGGACGACTGTCTCTACAGCGATAACTTGGAGGGACGACTGTCTCTACAGTTGCACCTTGGAGGACGACTGTCTCTACAGCTATACCATGGAGGGACTACAGCTATACCTTGGAGAGACGACTGTCTCTACAGCTATACCTTGAGGGACGACTGTCTCTACAGCTATACCCGACTGGAGGACGACGACTGTCTCTACAGCTATACCTTGGATGGACGACTGTCTCTACAGCTATATCATGGAGGGACGACTGTCTCTACAGCTATACCTCGGAGAGACGACTGTCTCTACAGCTATACCTTGGAGGGACGACTGTCTCTACAGCTATACCTTGGAGGGACGACTGTCTCTACAGCTATACCTTGGAGGGACGACTGTCTCTACAGCTATACCTTGGAGAGACGTCCGTCTCTACAGCTATACCTTGGAGGGACGACTGTCTCTACAGATATACCATGGAGGGACGACTGTCTCTACAGCTATATCTTGGAGGGACGACTGTCTCTACAGCTATACCTTGGAGGGACGACTGTCTCTACAGCTATACCATGGAGGGACGACTGTCTGTAAGACTAAGCTCTGTAACGGTATATCCATTGGGCTCTAACCTGACTCTAGTATTGTAACTTGATCTCTGAACTGTTCTCTGGACGATAGGCAACATTTAGAACTGTACCTAAGACAATGATCAGACCCTCTGACTTTTCCCTGAATTGTGGTTTTTCCCTCGATCTTGACTAGACTGTAACCTGGACTATGGACTGTAACCTGGACTGTGGATTGTCCCTAGGACTGTAAACTGGACTGTGAACGGTCCCTAGGACTGTACCTTACCCACATGACAAGAGAGGTGTTGCTTTCTTACATTTGCAGCATGTTATAGGTGTTGTCGGAGAGCGGTGTTGGTGGTGGCGGGGAGCAGCCTGGGACGTCGACATCACGCAGGTTTACCCAGTAAACATGCCAGCCTCTGCTTCCCAGTTGTCTGCATGAAGCTAGAGCAATTTTGATGGATTTTAACTTCTCCCTAGCAGAGTTCCATCCACAGAATTATATTTTTGAGATGTATATATCCATTACTACAATATTTTTGCCGGGTATATAGAAATTAACGCCGATTGTTGATCTCCAAGGCTGCCCAGACTGCTAGAGTAGGTAGTTGACGTTGTGTAGGTAGTTAAGTAGCCCTGGTAGTTAGGTAGTCCTGGGCAGCCTAGCATGACGTACCTGACTAACAGTTTAGCCTCGATGCTCTGAACACCTCATGCTCCTTGGATCCTGGCCACCCTTTTATTATCCTCTCCCCAAGGTCAGATAAATACATGCATTTTTGAACCGCTGAATCGACTTTTCCGCCAAACCCCAACTTTCCTTTTGAAGCTGGCGGACGATGTTGGTGTCAGCGGAATTTAGTGTGTTTCCCTGGCCCTGTCCATATTGATATGGCCAAATCTTCAGGCGTAACACTTAAAAAAAAAAAGCCATTTGAGATTTTTGAGCTCTTAATTCTAACCAAGGGTTGATTTTTCTTCTCCTGTTTTTCCAGCCAATTGGTACTTGGAGGCTGGCAATAAGCCCTTATGCGGCAACAGTAGTGGTGCAGGGTAAGCTCTCAGATTTTTTCTTTTTTTTTCTTTTTTTTTTTTGGCTAAAATTTACCTGAGCCACTTTTGTCTACATGCTGTTTCTTTTGATGCACCGATCATCATATTTTTGCTTATGATTTGGTTTAACCTGCTACCTGTGTTGACGCACTGGATACAGCATTTTTTTGCATATTGTCTGTACACCTGATGCCAGTGACTACGATTTCAATTATCTCGCTCCAGTAAGGCCAATTTTCTCTCAGTTTAAAATAGGAAGAAAACCTTAATGAAGCAGTACCTTAGAGATCGTAGTTGCTCTCACCCCTTTGGTTAATTTGCTTTAATATGTGTCCTCAGAAAAATAAATCATTAAATCATCTTGGCCATCCGGTACCACCTTAGTCTCAAGGATCTTGATCAGTTCGCCGGCCAGTTACTTCGCTTGCTCAACATATTAGCAAGTACTGTTAATGCCTATGCATTGTTAATTTCATTTATTGTGATACTGATCTCCAAATTTTCTCAAATGAGTTAGTGTTAAAGAATGTGAGAGAGAAAGACAGACCAACAGAGAACGTTTGCATAAAAGAAACACAATGTACAGTATGTATATATATATATCTATACACACCTTCTTGGGGTAATTGAGACATAATGTTAAATTCCAACAAATTCTTTTGAGTTGGACAATATACAGAGAATATAATGTAGATAAATATGAGACGAGATAATAAAGTATGATATTAGCACTAACTCTATCGAACTAATTATACTTAACCTGACAGAGGTAAAATTTAGATGTTTTAGCAGTGAGAAAGATATCTTAAATATTAGTCAATCTTACCTTATATGCTCTAATATCCAAGAAGTCATAACGTTAAATAATTTAATCGATCTCATATCACAATCAGCCCGCTTCGTTTTAAGGCTTTTTCGGACTGTCATAGCTAATGCCTTGAAAATACCTTTGACTTTAATGCTCGTTGAAGGAGGAGGAATTCTTGCTTCCATTGGCCGGTTTCATGTACAGTAAAGTAGTTTTATATTTTTTGTGCCTTGAAGGTGTCGTGTGTTTGGGACATATTTATGATCGTTTTATAGACTTGAACCATTTATTACAGTTAGGTCGATATGCTGTAGCTGCTGCCTCAGGTGTTAGTTGGGTATCTCTTAAGAGCATGGATTGTGACGTGAAAATAAAGCGGTGTTACTCCCTATGTGTTTAATATTGTTAGGGAACTTACAATCTTCTAGACATGAACAATTAGGAATATGTTGGTACTCCGGAGTTGGGTTATATTGCGATAGCTTTTGTTTGTCGTGACGAGATCCTTGTATTTCATGTTATTACAGAATATTGCTAGTTTGGCTTGGCGTATGTTCTTGGTAGTCTGTGTACAAGATGACAAAAGAACATTGTAAGAACAAAAATGTGGGAAATCTCATCATGATAAACAAAACTACTGTAGTAAAAATTCTTAATGACGCCATTGTCATTTATGAATTTACCTGTCAAGAAGGATGTTGTAAACTCCTCAACACACACCACCACCAGCTTACTTAACCACAACTCATAAAACAGCAGAAAGCAAACCAAACTGGAGGCAAAAATTCAGGATTGACCTTCTCAGCCACTAAAATTATATCTGATTCTTCAAAATTTATTAGACATATTCAATACATCAAACATCTCCGATTAAGCCTTAAAAAAAACAATTAAAATTTTTGCCCAATAGGGAAACTTTGTTTTTATTCCTGTAACTCAATGGAAATTAATTAATTTTCTGGTCAAATTTGCCCTGATTCATTTAAGGCATCGTCTACTATCATATTATAGCAAAATTATACCTAAGAATAAAAGGTAAGGTTAAGCTTAACTTAGGTTAGGTTAGGGTTTGCCCACCCTGGCCCAGGTCAATTACCCACATCAGGGCCTGGGGGTGAAAATATAATAATAATAATAATAATAATAATAATAATAATAATAATAATAATAATAATAATAATAATAATAATAATAATAATAATAATAATAATAATAATAATAATAATAATAAAGAGCCATAAATAAAAAAAATCAATAGTGAGAACCAATATATGTATGTTGTGTTGTCAATAGTAAGAGAAACAATTGAGACCCTGCAAATGTGTGTAAATGAGGCAGAAAGTCAGAGCAGCAACCTGGGACTTGGTCACATATGGCATCAGGGTCCACCATAGAGATCTTCTGATTAAGCCTTAAAACGTAACTGACGCTTTTTGGTCAAACAGGAAATTTATATAAACTAATTTTGTCTTTCACTTAAAAAGTCATTTACTATCATAACACTTGAGCTATACAATATACCTAATTTAGGTCGGATTATATCATGTTAGGTCACGTTAGGCAGGTTAGAAAGTATGCTGTTCATCTCTACATACAAATTAAAGTTACGAAAGAAAAGAAATACGCGGAAAAATATTGTTATTTCTCAATTATCCCTCTTTATCGTGACACACACACACACACACACACACACACACACACACACACACACACACAATGAGAGCTAAATAAACAGTTTCTTTGCTATATAAGAGATGCATCTTCACTTACCGAATTCAGTTTCTGGTGTAGGAGGTTAGGTTCAGTACTTCCTGCAGAAAGACATACAGTACAGTATGTAATCCTCACCCCACACAACATGGTCGCACAGTGGGAATTCATCCGAAGCTTTAAAAGATGAAACCCACAAAATATTTCTTGTAATATAATGTCATTAAAAGATAGTGCTGACTGTATTAATGTTATATTTCCTATTGTAAAAAATTTTTCTTAATTAACCCTCATTATATAATAGACGCTGCTGTCGGTAGTTGCCAATGAATTAGTCGATAATCTAAATATTTACAAGTGATTCCAAATAACCATCTTGTTGCAAATTCTCTCATACTTCAGGATCTTAAAACCCTGTCGTAATTTTCTGTGATTCGTCGAGCAAATATTTCATCCGTGGTAAATCCAAGACAAAGTGGTACCGGATTATATAAACACATCTTAACTAAATCAGATGCTTGCTCGGCTGGCTGTCCTTCAGGGAAATAGTCACATGCCTGTTCGTTATCCCTGAACCATAAATCCCTCTATCTATATGGAAATGTTCGCTCAGTACCCCCTCGCTCCCTCACATAATCTCCCCTTCCTTGTGTTCTCTTTCAATAACAAGCATGCTAGATTTTGTTTCTATTAAAAATTTACCCTCCAGTATTAGATCTGGGACATAATCAGAATAAAAGTTGGAAAGGTGTCAAAAAAAAAGATGATAAACGTAATTTAATTGTTTTGTTAATCGCTAGCCTCGGAGGGAACTTGGTGTGCCACTGAACTATTAAGATCGTTGTATAAATGAGTTTAATTCTGTTGTTTTAACTGAGACAAGAGCACATTATAGGATAAGAGTATTACTAAGTGATCCAGTTGTACACCAGAAACTTATCTAACAGGTTTCAATGTCATTTTGATTGAATTTAGAATCTTTGTCAGTATGGTAACTATTTAATGACTTTTCGGATTTTGTTGGTGACATTAAACGTCTCATTACTGTTGATGGTAAAGTTATTGGTAGTTTCAACAGTAGAGTAAACCATTCTTCCCCTCCTGGCTTAACTACATCACCTGTTTACTTCACATCTCAACTGTTGTGATGTGCCTTGTTTCACTAGAGCTGCCTATTACCGTTATCTTTGCCTAAATAACATGAAAACTAATACGAATATAAACTATGCACTGTAGTCAACGTTATTGTAATTGTCTATTTCTCTCTCATTTTACATTTATAATTAAACACACACACACACACACACACACACACACACACACACACACACACACACACACACACACACACACACACACACACACACACACACACACACACACACACAGATATATATATATATATAAAGGTTATTCCGAGTAAACTCTCTCACCGTAGCAGTAGATGTAGCTAACAGTATAAGGCATTAACATAAACTTGCTATATTTTAACTAAGCTTGTTTATTACCGCTCGTGCATTGTGCTTTATGTATTGCATCTCCTTATCTCTCAGGCTTAACAGTGACCACCTTATATAACTGCTTGTGGTTAGTGCTTCTCTCTCTCTCTCTCTCTCTCTCTCTCTCTCTCTCTCTCTCTGTCTTTACTTATAATCTGTTATTGATTGGTGTCATGTCTTTTAAATGGATAACTTATATTAAACGTAGGAGTATTATTACCCCATCAGTATTACTAGTGCTGTTATGCCTCTAGTCTTTAGTTATAACCTTACAGTTATAATTATTTTTGTACATATGACATTCATAATAGTTTCTTTCAATACAAAATATTCTCCCGTTCTACCTTAATATCCAGTAGTACTAATCTGCTAGTTCCCAATACTAACATACTTGCCTTCACTACTACCCTACTAGTAACCATTACTAACCAATTTTCCTAGTACTACCCTGATAATTAATAGTACTGCCCTGCTAACTAACAGTACTACCCTGATAATTAATAGTACTGCCCTGCTAACTAACAGTACTGCCCTGCTAACTAACAGTACTGCCCTGCTAACTAACAGTACTGCCCTGCTAACTAACAGTACTGCCCTGCTAACTAACAGTACTGCCCTGCTAACTAACAGTACTGCCCTGCTAACTAACAGTACTGCCCTGCTAACTAACAGTACTGCCCTGCTAACTAATAACCCCTGTACTGTCCCAATAACCCCTGTACTGTCCTAATAACCCCAGTACTGTCCCAATAACCCCAGTACTGTCCCAATAACCCCAGTACTGTCCCAATAACCCCAGTACTGTCCCAATAACCCCTGTACTATCCTAATAACCTCTGTACTGTCCTAATAACCCCAGTACGGTCCTAATAATCCCTATACTGTCCTTATAACCCCTATACTGCCATAATAATCCCTGTACTGTCCCAATAACCCCAGTACTGTCCCAATAACCCCAGTACTGTCCTAATAACCCCAGTACTGCCATAATAATCCCTGTACTGTCCTAATAACCCCAGTACTGCCATAATAATCCCAGTTACTGTCCTAATAATCCCAGGTACTACCACCTTAATATATTTCTTCTCGTCACTTACTATTTTCCCTGCTATCTGTTATAACACATTACTAGCTCCAACACTACCCCAAAAACCTAGCACAAACCTGCTAGTTCCTAGTCCTCTGCTTCTAGCTCAAACATTTACTTACTTGCTACCCAGTACAATCCCCATAGATCTTCGATACAATGACTACCCGACTAGATCAGTGCCACCCAGACACCTCAGAACTACCCTGCTAGCTCAGTGCCACTCAGACACCTCAGAACCACCCTACTAGCTGAGTGCTACCCCATACACCTCAGCACTACCCTACTAGCCCTCAATACTACCCCACTAGCTCAGAGCACTGCCCTGCTAGTCCTCAAGACCTTACATGTTATTAGAATCATCCTACTAGCCTCACTAATGCCCTTGGTACCTTCATCGTCGTTCAACTCTCCATTAACACTGTCTAGTTCTTGCTGTTACTGCCTCACTCCCCTTCAATGCTTCCTTATTTTAATTCTAGTCCGACTTCATCATCTACTGCTTCTATAGCCCAAGTAATGCCTCTCCAGCCTCTAGTGTTAAGCTGCTTTCAAGATAAATTAATGCCTCTAGCTGCCTCATGTAGGTACAGTCCCCTTCACTTATGCGTTTACAGGGGCATGTCGGGTTTTGTGCAGTGTGGCAGTGCTATGTTTGTTTACATTCGATAAAAGGAAACTCGTAATAGTAAACATTATATGGAATCGAAGTAAAACAATATTAAAACAAATATCTCAATGATAATGATTTGTGGAATGTTTATATGACGAGCCCCTGTAAACGCACTAGTGAAGAGGACTGTACCACCCTTCTAGTCAATATTACCTACTGTTCCTCTACCCTGAAATATTCTCATACTAGTTCCAGTATTGCCTTTCCAATGGCCAAGTACTATCTTATTAATCGCGAGCTTTACCAAAATATTATTCAGCTTTATCCTTCTACTATCCTTCTGTATCATTCTATCCCCCTCTACCAGCCCAGTGTTGCCTTGTTAGTCTTTGGTATTATTTAAATAGGCGCATTTAATATCTCCAATAACCATTTGTACGGCCTCATACTAGCCCCAGTCCTTTTTTTATTAGTTTCCAGTCCTATCCATCTGTTCGCTAGTACTGCCCCCTTACTAGCCCAAGAATTTCCTACCCTGCTGCTCGCTGAGAATCATCTTGGGCCATCCTCTTGATCTCGCAGCCGCCCTCACCACTGTTATTATACAGAGCATCCACATTAACGTAAACTTAAATCCGTCTTCAGATTGAATTTTTCTTTCTCAGGTTTTCTTAGGTACGATTCCAACACTTACTTCAATGGTAACTGCACATTCCTACCTGGTTTTCTCTCGTCCAGATGAAGGCATTCGTGCCGTCATTCATTCCGATCTTTCTTGCTCCCATTAGCTAAACCTCCAATCCCTTCAACCACGCCGTTTTTTACACTCAATAGGTTTCTTAACCTCAAAAAATTGAAGGTATACCCCGGCTCACGGACAGATACACACTGACTCACTGCAGAGGCCTCTTCCTTTAATAATAGTCTCACCGATGTAGTCATTACCCAATACGAATCCCTGACCATCCTGGTGAAAAACTAATTTATGTTTGTCCTTCACATCTCAGCCAAGTTTTTACACTTTGGCTGTGCCATCAGTAATTGGTTCTTCAGATCTTCTCCTCCTTACACTCCTCTATTTAGTCTTTGACCTGCACTATGTGGCACAACAGTAGAGCTGCCTGAGATCATTAAAGAGACTGCCACTCTCAATTCACCTGAACTATAACATTCACCTTATAGCCAATCTTGCTGATAAAACTTCAGAAATCATTCACCTTAGTATAGAACTCTTTCTCGGTCACGTTCTTTTGCAAAATGACCGAGACCAAAAATCCTCCTAAAACACACATCACTCATCAGAACCCCCGTAAACAATTTTAACAGTCCAACTATTGGTAACTTGTTATGATTATTCCCCAAGTAATTTTACTGCACCTTCTATAACCCAAATATATCTTCCCTCATCTGTCCTGGTAACACAACTTCAGTCATAGTATAAAATAAAGCTAATTTTCTAGGTTGCATGTTTGTCCAAAAGTCAGTGACCCATAATCATGATAAGTGCGCCACCCTCCTTCCTATAATACCTGTTCCAGATTTACCTCGGCCTATGCAACCACTTCAACTTTATAGCTGCCCATTAAACTTACCCACTCCACTATTTCTTTAATATTGTTACGTGATATTTCTAAAGCTTTCAATAATGTTTGGCATCACTCTTTTCTTGCCAAACAGTCTGGGTCATCTGGATTTTTATAATGACTTGCTATCCTTCTTTCTGTCCAATCCAGTTCTGGCTCTACCCTATTGACTTTCCATAATAATGAGCTTCTTATCATTCCTTTGAGCAGGACTGATGTATTAAATAACGTTCTCCAGTGTATCGCCTAAAAGCTATAAGCTCTTTACACCAAAACATATATTCTTCATGACAAACACAAACAAACCAACGTGTAATTCATTCAACATCGTCCCCATGATACCAACTACAAAATGTAATGTCCTTAGTCTTAATTTAACTCATAACGTCTCTTAGAATCACCACATTTCCAACATTGTTAAAGATACCACTAAAACACTAGGTTAACTCCTCTGGGCTTGCTAATGGTTTATATCTGTATAACTTTACGCTTTCCAACAGCCATGTCAGCTCTCACTTGAAATACTGCTGTCACTTAGCCCTGTTAAATAATGTACATAATAAAGGTATTAGCGCCTTACCCTTCGCCCCCCTTCCATATAACGTGGCTCAATTCTTCATTTCAGTGGTCAGCGTACCGTTGAAATCTTCGCCATGGCTTCTCATACCTTTCAATCCTAGACGCAACACAGGTTAAATCCTATCCTGATACTCTCACTATGCGCAAGTTTTCTTTAGTCAAACCTCATTATTTATCCCCATCATTCCTTTCACGTCACGACCATGGACCCTAGAACCTACATTCACTAAAGACACGCCTATAGGTCAAGTTGTTAGTAGCACTTCTGTGTCAATAAAAACCTTCCCTCGTGCATCACAGTGTTAAAACTAATATCACTACTCCCTTACTATACCTCACAACTATCTTCCTTACTCCCAAACTACTTTACTAGCTCTAGTTATATTGTCTAGCTACCAGTACGACCCTACGCGCCCCTGGTGTAATTCTAGCGACCCTAGCATTAACGTAGGAGTTTCACGTATTTAACCATACACTAGAAGTTTAATAATGATTTTCTTTGCCACTGTTCTCATTGTCCAAGTACCTCCCTGTTAGCCTTATATTACACCTCATACATGCTACCCTCATATTATCCCCTCATACCTGCTAGCCTCATATTACCCCCTCATACCTGCTAGCCTCATATTACCCCCTCATATCTACTAGCCTCATATTACCCCCTCATACCTGCTAGCCTCATATTACCCACTCATACCTGCTAGCCTCATATTACCCACTCATACCTGCTAGCCTTATATTATCCCCTCATACCTGCTAGCCTCATATTACCCCCTCATATCTACTAGCCTCATATTATTCCCTCACACTTACTAGCCTCATATTACCCACTCATACCTGCTAGCCTTATATTACCCCTCACACCTGCTACTAGCCTGTACTAACCCTGGCTTCTCCCACAGTCCTTGTCCGGCGGGGTTCATCTGCCTACAGGGGTTCGGGGACAATCCCAACTATGGTTTTACCAATTTTGACAGCTTCGGTTGGGCTTTCCTATCAGCGTTCCGACTTATGACACAGGACTATTGGGAAAATTTATATCAATTGGTAAGTTACTTAATATACATTGTAGTTAAGGTTATTTAATGTGTGTGTGTGTGTGTAGTGATAATGGATAAAGCGAGACTGATAAGAGGGAACTTAAGTTGATTAATAAGGTGGGTCGGGTACTGTATGCAGATGATACTGTTGTGGTGCATAATTACATAGTTCATAGTGGACGTGAAAATAAGTAAAGGGCTTTTGTTAAGTAAAGAAGGGATGCTGGGCTTTATAAATGATAGTTTGAATAAAGTAAATGTATCAGCGAATAATGCAGTTGGTGAAAATTAAATCTTTGGGGAACTAAGGGAAAGAAGGTAAGGTAGTTGAGGCAGTAACGTAAAAGATGAATAATTATGGATCTGTAAGGTGGAGTTTGGGTACAAGGGAAAGACATGGATAAGAAGCAGTGTGTGGGGGTAAATATGAAGGAAAGAATAAGAAACACTGTATAATAAGGAGATGTGGAAATAAAAGACGTTATGGAGAAACAGGAGATAAGGGATTACTAAGAGATTATAGTCATACTTAGAAATTAGGAAGTAAAACATAAATATAAAAATGTTTAATTCAGGGAGAGTGAAAGACGCCATTGAAGGAATAGACAAGCTGTGTAATTCTTAGTTTCTGCCTATATACTGTGTGTGTGTGTGTGTGTGTGTGTGTGTGTGTGTGTGTGTGTGTGTGTGTGTGTGTGTGGTTTTCTCTATTTCATGTATTTAAAAGCTTGTGATACATATTAGTACTTTATGTTAATTTTTTGGGGTTGGCTCTCCCATGTTACTGTCTGACGGTATTGCATTTGATTCACCCTCGTTCCCCTCTGTTTCCATAGGAGTAACATGGGACTGCTGGTTCTGGGTAACACATAATTTACTTCATTTTACTGGTGCTATGTTTGGTCAGATTTGGTACCTCATATCCTACCCAATTTTCACTATCCTTTTGAAGGTGCTACGTTCGGCTGGTCCTTGGCACATTATATTCTTCGTGGTGATTATCTTCTTGGGGTCATATTACCTGGTGAACCTCATCCTAGCCATCGTCGCCATGTCTTACGACCAGCTGCAGAAAAAGGCAGAAGAGGAGGAAGAAGCAGCCTTAGCAGAAGAAGAAGCACTCAGGGTAAGTGCACCACCTTAAAGGCTGTTTACCACTTTTCTCTTCATTGTTTTAAGGGATATTACGAGTTACTTGCCTAATGACACTGTCTTTTTTTTTTAGAATATAGATTTTTTTTTTTTTTATGTTATTTTGGTTCTTAAGATCTGACTGGCAAGTTAATACAGACTGCAGTATTTTATTGCATACATAACAAAATATAATTGTAGCGTAATTTAGGTTAAAAGAGGAGGAAAGTGTGTGATTGTGACGGACTGGTCTGCTGTGCTACCAACAGGCTCAGGAGGTAGAGGCAGATGAAGCGACTGAGGCGGCGCTGGCTCTGGCTAGAGGAGACCTTGACGGGGGTTCCATAATAAAGTCCCCGTCAGACTTCTCATGTCACTCTTATGAGCTGTATGTAGACCAGGATAAAGTCAACGACGACAACAGCAAGGAGAAGATGTCCATTAAGAGTGAAGGAGGAGAATCCATCCATGATATCAAGGCACGTCCGAACGGAAAGCTGGCCACGGCGAGGAAGGTCAGTGACACCACTTTCTTCGTTGCTTTAGGACGTTGGTAGGCTCTACCAGCCAAGTCCCCGGTGAAGTCATCGCAAAACAATGAATTGGCTGTAACAACTTTATAAATTCGTAATTTGGCCCCTGAACAAAATTTGAGAAAATATGCTGTTCTTTATATTATTTGCCTATAATGTGAGTTTTCTCTCTCAATCTAGTTCATGTTTTGTGTTTATCATTTATTGGCCAACCAGATGTGGTACAATACTGCAGCCCTTCACTAACCATAAAACAAAAGTTATTACACTTTATGCAGTTACAATCTCCACTTATTTTGTTGTTATCATTGTATGTATATACTTACATATATCTGGATACTACAGTGCTGCTGCTTGGCTGTTGGTTGTGTGCGGGGCCTCACTCTCCTGGGGGAGCGGCTAGGTCTCCCTACCTCTCACAAAGCTGGCCCCGACGCACACTTTGCACTGTGCCTCTTTGTCCCCTTGCCGTAGTTCTCCATATTAGCGATTTAGCCAACCACTCCATTTTAGAATAGATGGACATTTCTATAGAAAATTATGATCTGAAAGCATGAAACAGACGTCTGGTCTAGCATTATAAAACTGCGGTTTAGTCAGAGTCATTAGTCACATATTAGCCAATTTTACTGAAACTAGAGAGTCAGCCAAGTATGTCTTAGTTATTATTTCATATGTTTAGATGCATGGGGACTCTTAACTAGCCGTTATCCATAAATACGTGCGTCATCATGTAAAATAGCTAAGATTATAATAGAGGTCAGCATGAAGTGTACTGACAAGCCCTCGGCCATTGTGTAGCATGCCACAAGTCCTACAACTCCATCTACCTTTAATTGAGGTCTAATTTTCTCACGTTCGTTCTATGGTGGTCAGCAATACATGATACTGTTGTTATTAGGCACAGATTAGAGTTCATTTTGCCCTGTGGTCACCTGCAGGTCACTAGTGTTAATGAGCTGTAGTCGACCGTCACCTTAGATCTCAAACAGGTGATAGAGTCAAAAATGTTGAGCTACCTGTTTCTGATAATTATGTTGAATTACTTGTTGATGATAGAGTCAAGATGACTTACCTGTTACTGATAAAATCCGATTGTGTTATCAGAAAGTGCCAGACTGGAACACACACACACACACACACACACACACACACACACGTCTGAAGGTTATTATATTATTGACGTTGTCTACTTTCAGTTATTTATTGCCTCTAGCGTAAAACTTAACCACATATCAATATTTTATCTATGTTTATGTCACGTGTTAGTGTTAAATTAGGTCTCGTGTTAGTGTTAAGTTAGGTTACGTATTAGTGTTAAGTTAGGTTACGTGATAGTGATAAGTTAGGTCTGAGTTTCCCAATTAATTTTAGACCTTACCCTAAAACAAGCCTGATAACAGTACTCACTCGTCCCACATAGACTCTGCATGATAGCAAATTAAACTCACGATCTAAATTTCTACCACATTTGTATTGCTAATTGTGTATTATACAGTAATTACAAATAGGAATAAGTGACCAAAAGCACACACTCGAAAAATGCCAAATTACACCCATGGGGATAATTGGGAAACCGTGAGTTAGTGGATACACCCTCAACCTTGCCCTTTAGTGTACCGATGGTTTAGGTTTCAATGTCCTCAACCTTGCCCTTTAGTGTACCGATGGTTTAGGTTTCAATGTCCTCAACCTTGCCCTTTAGTGTACCGATGGTTTAGGTTTCAATGTCCTCAACCTTGCCCTTTAGTGTACCGATGGTTTAGGTTTCAATGTCCTCAACCTTGCCCTTTAGTGTACCAATGGTTTAGGTTTCAATGTCCTCAACCTTGCCCTTTAGTGTACCGATGGTTTAGGTTTCAATGTCCTCAACCTTGCCCTTTAGTGTACCGATGGTTTAGGTTTCAATGTCCTCAACCTTGCCCTTCAGTGTACCGATGGTTTAGGTTTCAATGTCCTGTATCTGCATTCAGCTAACAGGTCACCAGGTCTTGGGGATACAGTTGCATCTTCACTGCTGGGGTCAAGTCAAGCTCATCCATTGTCCCAGGGTAGAAACAAAGGACTGCATGTGTCCATCAGTGTCTTACTACTGTCGATGTCTAAGGCTAGATGAGTCGCATGTCAGTGCTGTAGTTAGATTGAGTCACATTATAGCTTCAGGTAGTCTGAGTCACATGTTGGGGTTAAGTTTAATCACATTTTAATTCCGGATGAGGTGAGCCAAGTATAAAGAGAAGAGACTGACTCACCTGTTAATGCAAGAGGCTGGGTTAAGTCACAAGTTAGATCATGCGTTTAGTCATTTGCGGTTGAGTCACATGATATTACTGTTGTTAACTTGAGTCACATGTCCGTCGGTGTTACATGTCAGTGCTGGGATTGAGTCACATTATAGCTTCAGGTAGTCTGAGTCACATGTTGGGGTTAAGTTTAATCACATTTTAATTCCGGATGAGGTGAGCCAAGTATAAAGAGAAGAGACTGACTCACCTGTTAATGCAAGAGGCTGGGTTAAGTCACAAGTTAGATCATGCGTTTAGTCATTTGCGGTTGAGTCACATGATATTACTGTTGTTAACTTGAGTCACATGTCCGTCGGTGTTACATGTCAGTGCTGGGATGAGTCACCTGTTAGTGCTGGGATGAGTCACATGTTAGTGCTGGAATGAGTCACATGTTAGTGCTGGGATGAGTCACCTGTTAGTGCTGGGGATGAGTCATGAGTGCTGCTGACCTGTTAGTGCTGGGGATGAGTCACCTGTTAGTGCTGGGATGAGTCACCTGTTAGTGCTGGATGAGTCACATGCTAGTGCTGGGGATGAGTCACATGCTAGTGCTGGGGATGAGTCACATGTTAGTGCTGGGATGAGTCACATGCTAGTGCTGGGATGAGTCACATGCTAGTGCTGGGATGAGTCACATGTTAGTGCTGGGATGAGTCACATGCTAGTGCTGGGATGAGTCACATGTTAGTGCTGGGGATGAGTCACCTGTTAGTGCTGGGATGAGTCACATGTTAGTGCTGGGATGAGTCACATGCTAGTGCTGGGGATGAGTCACCTGTTGGTGCTGGGATGAGTCACATGTTAGTGCTGGGATGAGTCACATGTTAGTGCTGGGGATGAGTCACATGCTAGTGCTGGGATGAGTCACCTGTTAGTGCTGGGATGAGTCACATGTTAGTGCTGGGGATGAGTCACATGTTAGTGCTGGGGATGAGTCACATGCTAGTGCTGGGATGAGTCACCTGTTAGTGCTGGGATGAGTCACATGTTAGTGCTGGGATGAGTCACATGTTAGTGCTGGGGATGAGTCATGGATGTGGTGCTGGGATGAGTCACATGTTAGTGCTACTGCAGTGCTGGGATGAGTCACCTGTTAGTGCTGGGATGAGTCACTGTTAGTGCTGGGATGAGTCACATGTTAGTGCTGGGATGAGTCACCTGTTAGTGCTGGGGATGAGTCACCTGTTAGTGCTGGGATGAGTCACATGCTAGTGCTGGGGATGAGTCACATGTTAGTGCTGGGATGAGTCACATGTTAGTGCTGGGGATGAGTCACCTGTCAGTGCTGAGCTAGGGGGCCAACATGTGCAGGAGCTTCAATAATATGCATGAGGTTAGAAAAATATATTAATTCGTGTATCCGTTTTTTATATTAGCCAAGTGTTGGTGTCGGGTGCTTCAAGTATAGAAGCAATATGCTTAACTGCTAGCGCTATTAATGTTGTTACTATAGACGCATTCAAGTGTTGGTAGGTTGTACTACTCAATAGCGTTAGAATCTTAGCTTTGTTTGAGGACAGATCTACGCCAAAAAAAACTATTTATCAGTTACTGCTGAATGTAGAAGTAAAGGTTTAATTTATTTGTTTTAACCTAAAGATTTTTATTGAGTCAAACCTTTGAAAGACCTATGTTATTAGTTACGGCTCATCTTCTTGCATACAGTGGCACGGATCAAGATGTTTAACATCAGTTTACACATAATCCATCATAAACCAATGACTATTAATGTCATGTTTGACCGCCAGACAAAGTGTAACACAACAGTGAACACCTCTCACACCCCAGCCTATATGTGTTTATGTATGACATGCTGTCAGTGTCTAGCTTAGCTATTGTGCAAGCCTTAATTACATGTAACAAGATATACTGTACATCATAATGAACCAAATTATTGACTAGTGTATAACATGTAATTGTTGTGAGGGATCATCTCACTGGTGTTTGAGAATTATCTCTTCTCCTGAGTTTAAACATAATTGTAATAAACTAATTTTAAGATTAGAATAGACTGTACTGATCATTTTCTACGTTCTTCTCACGTAACACATTGTTGTTCAGAAGTAATACTGAGTGCTTGTAGATACCAGACCTCACTACTGGTACTCATTTAAAACATATCCTGTGCAAAGACACATTTCTAAAAATTTTAGAGTACAATTTACATCTGTAACTGTAGTGGTATTCAGCATAAATGAATTTTGGTAGCTGTTATGTGTACTAGTTATGCAAAGTTTTCACAGTGTGATAATTGATCATGGACGATTGTAATGGAGAATTTGTCACAGTTTTCACATTGGAATTTTGAAGCATTTCTAGAGGTCTCGTCCTTGGTGCTTGTGTTGCGGTCATCTGCTGCTCAGTCACAGTCCTATATATCCCATGTGTGTTGACTGACCGTCCTTATTTTCTGGTGACTTAAAATGTTTTCAAGTTTAGAAATGAAACTAACAAAGGTAAATAATATGGCGAAAACGATGGTGATGTTGAGGACGTGTGCCTCCTGCTCTGTCTGGTGCACCACATACTGCCCGTCGGCGAGGTGTGTCAAATCTTTGGGGCTATCATGTAATAAGAGACTTGTTCAGAATATGGAACATCGGTTCATAAACTTATTCGTATTTGTGTTTTTCGTATCATTAAAATCTGGCCATCATTTAATAGATGCCCAGCTGTCAGGGGCAAGAGTCAGCC